GGCACGGCGCGCTGCCGCCCGTACGGAGCTAGCCAAGATGCGACGCCTCGCCGTGGCTGACGAACACAGCAGCGCGCGACCGAATAGTGCAGGAGAATATTTAAGTGTGGCGTTCCGGTCACACACAAGTTGCAAGAGCTCTTGTGTGAAGTAATTGTTTGAGAATCTGCAGACAATATTATTGTCCGCGAAACAAATGTATCAGAATGGTAAAAATGATTGATTGTAGAAGCAGGAGTAACAACAACTTTAAAGTAAAGAACATTAATTAAAAGACTGGAAGTAAAAGTGATTTCCTACAGTAGAGAGATTAGACACGAGTAAATTCCAGATCATGGTGTACATCAAGTGTGCCAGTGCGATGATAATATCAATTACTCCCTCCGTTCTAAAATAGATAATCCAACTTTGTAGTAACTTTGTACTAAAGTTAGTACAAAGTTGAGTCATCTATTTCGAAACGGAGGGAGTACCTTGTATCGTGATTTTAATGGTACTGGTTGTTTGTTTGGTATACGGGTCACCCTTGAGTTGTAGAACTCCACGTGTGATTCCGTTCTCCTCTATAGTCATCGTGGTCGTCTCCATAATTAAGGTCGTGAGACTGAAACAATTTAAGTTCGATGGATCACCGTTATCTCATACTGTCTTCGATCCTCATGGATATCTTCACCTGTCATCTGAAGGTCACAAATTCATTAAACAATGTGCTATCTGTGTAGGTCTTAAATTGGACAACACACATTACGCTCAGCGTGGATAAACAATTTACTGAACAATCATAAAACTATAACCACGAATGACGACATGTATAATGGACACACGAATCGTACCAATCACCTACATCTAGGAAGAACTAGCGCATGCAAACACTGCATTTCAACTGAAAACCCTCCAAAACTAACGGGCTTCGCATCAGGTCGGGTGCATTGTTTGCCACTTTGCCTCACTTACTTGACTGAACGGGATCACGAGCAGGAGGATAATAGCAGGAGGGACAGGGATCGGTAGAATCACAAATAGTTGGCTGCATTTTTATTTTGCAAATCGTTCCAGTTTGTGTTATATGTTAACTTCTGCTCGACTCACTGTGTGTAATATGAGAAAATCCTCTTGCCAACTTTTTAATTTGATGCATTGTGTACTCATGGAAAGAAAACATGCACTGGGAGACAAGGAATGGTGCAATACCAGATGAACTGTCCACTTCTTCAGCAATTACAAAGGGGTTGTTCCTGAGGTTTGACACAATTTTCTAAACTTTTCAGCCTTGTAGACAGCAACTTTACCCGGTTAAGGCTGCCCGAACCAATTATTCCAAATAATTAGCATCGAACGCTACAAAATTCTTCAGGGGCGCGCGCCAATCACCGCACCTCTGGGTGAATTCCCAGTCTGATTTGCGCGCAGCTACAAGATTACACTACATGAGATGACACTCTGGCCAGGTCCCACTCTGAATGAGACTACCTGAGTCTTTCATCTTCTCTATGACTTCTCTTCATCTGATTGAGTCCCGTTGATGGCGTCGGCGAAGTACTCAACTGGAGATAATACCACAAATCATTAAGTCGGGCATGATGATCAATTGACACTTCACGGCGGACAGAAATCACAAACACAACCAAAATTACCTATGTCATCATTATGGTCTGGGGAATCAAGTAAGAGGTCCGAGTCCGAGGGCAGGAAAGGGGTACCTTCGTAGTTCTCAAGAGCCTCCAAATCTGAACATGAATGTGGAATACAACAGTGTGATTACAAATTTAGAATGACAGGCAAATAGGACGCACAAAATAAATCTGACAGTACAAATGTTGTGTTACTTGACAGAAATCAGAAGCACAGAATTAGCTAATCAGAGTAGGCTATGTGTTCAGCTTTTCATCCTGTGTAGATCACAGTTTCATTTTTTGAAGAGCTGGTTATCAAAAGAAATACGATCAAATAAAGTCAAACTACCAAAGCCAGAAGGTCACCTCCTAAACTTGTCAAATCAGCTGTAAGATCAGAGAGGCTGAAATTCCAGAGCTGCCCCAAGGATCGGATGGAATCCCTTGACGACCCATCTGGCCCTAATTGCAGAGGTTCTGTGTTCCCTATGTCAGATCCAAATGCTGAATCTAGCATCGATGTATCCATAGCCATCCCTGGTATCTCCGACGGAGTGAAAGGAGCATGGTTGCTTGATGCTGCCGATGAGGGGCTCACAGCCATCTCGGATGACATGGCACCATTATGTCCAACTTCAGGTGCACCGTTGTCAACAACCATGCTTCATGCAACATCAAGTAATCAGGTTAAGAAAATATTAGCCATGAATGTGAACAGCAAGAGCAAAAGGAAAAAGAATACACGATTATGGATAAGACTATTTGCAAGACAACAAATCAGAAGGCTGCAACCTACAATCCTAATTTCTACATTTGCAGCAATAATAGTTTAACGTAGATTGGTTAAAAAAACATGTTCAAGCAACATCAGATTACATCATGTGAACAGATATATGGATAACAACAAAAATGAACAAGATATTTTTCTAGTGACAAGTACCTTTCATGAAACATTTTTAGCAGAAGAATGGTTAAAAAAACAATCAATAAATAAGCATCATAGTTAAAGTATATAAATAAGTGAATAACATCCTGTGACATTATTCCAAAGAATCGACCACTTGAGTAAGCATTTGCTCCCTGGCAGTTTGACAAGTGCAGCAACAAAAATAACTGTATGTGCCTTACCTCATTATGTGTATATGCAGGATGTGCTACAACTATGTGAACAGAAGCAAACATCGAAGATAAAATGTTCCAACCTTTCAATGATACATAGAGAGAAAATGATTTGCCAGACGAAAATATTATCAAGAACATGATTAAACCAATATATCCCACGTGAAGGAAAAAAGAACATGGTTAAACTGATAAAGATAATGCTTACTCATTTCCGGAATTCATGCGAATTGGTTGATAGCCACCTGGTGCAGGGATCCCATTCACCATATGACCGCTGGATAGACCACAAACCATCGGATCAATGTGAGGCTGGCCGGGAGCAGGCATCAGAGGTTGCTGAAGTACTGGATACCCCATCGGTAGATTGTTAACTGCACCAGATTCAGACTTAAGTCCAATAACAATGATAACGATACTTTTATAAATGTCTAAACCAGTCGACGATTAAAGCTAAACCTGAACTTGTCTAAATCATGCTAAGGATAATATGCACCATGAAATTCAATATAAGTGCAGAAAAAACCCATCATTTTAAGATCTTTACTCCTATAGATAGAGATATCATTACAGAGGTTTCCCATACCCAGCCAACACTACTGCAATAAATGATGGATAATATGGACCCGAGAAAGAAGAAGGCGAGCATAGTTGCTTATGATGATAAGATATTTTGATATAAGATGTGGACTTGCAAAATCCTTTCAGTAGAATCACATGAAAGGGGAGAAAAATATCTGATAGAAAAAGTAAACTGTAGTAAAAATAACAGCTAAGGAGAAAAGACAGCATATACTAGAAATCTTAAACTACAATGTACTTGTCTAGCCTCTTTTGAGCGCTAGACATGTAAAACACGGACATTACCTGGCATAGGATGCATCCCATTTTGCATTGGAGCCAGTGGAACATTCGGATGTGCTGGATATTTCATCAAATTACACTGGTGCTGCAACAAATGGTTGAACAAGATAATCTGTCTTTTCAGTTTCAATCTTATATAGTAAGCCCGAAAGAATTCAGGGTTCTCTTCTTCGAGTTTCTGCCATACTGAAAATACAAAAAAATTCAAAGAAAGTAAGCGGAAAGACTTCAGAACTCCAACAGATGTATATCTAGATGCTCGAGGTTCAAGAAACATAGTATAAAAGAACTTGAGCTCAGAGAGGATTTCAGATTTTCCGTCTGTACTGAGAAATCACTATCCATGTAGGTATCGATGATCATAGGTCAAACCGGTAAGTACAGGGCTACAACTTCATTATATCAAGCTAATTTGTTCATCGATCTGATGGGAAGGATTTGTGCATACTGTAGTAGTATTACCGATGTGCTCTGAATTACATGAAAGAAGCAAACAGATAAATAAACTAGTAAGTACAAAAAAGAACCCCAAACAGGAATATCATCAGCAACTGAATTTGCAACATTACCTAAAGTAGTGAAGCCAGGTTCTATTCTCGCACGAGAAGAAAGCGTCCTAACAACCTCTCCTTTGGTCATGTATAGCTGCAGACAGCGCTCTATCAAATTCTGGACCTGCAGCAGGATGTTAAGTTTCATTAATTAATTGACAAGATTGTGGGACATCCACTGTAGAGGGATGCAATATGGTGATAAATTAGCATTAAAAAAGCTAAAGACAACAGAACAACAGCTAGACATCTTACAAGTTCAATGTCTTCGCGGGAGACTTTTCTATTATCATTACTAGCGACTGTCAAAGAACCAGGATCTCCTGCAGGAGCATCAGTGGCCATTGTGTTTAGTTGGTTACTTTGCACTTCATTGGTACCTTGGGGTGACATCTGCAGCTCTGTTGTGCTCTGAATATCCTGTAGGAAATTTGCATATGTAACATAAATCAATCACCTGCTAAAGACAAAACAAAATGGATGCTAATACTGAAAACAGTATCAGTCAATTAGGAGTGCTATTAACAAGAAAAAAAGATGCCTTGGCATTGAGGAAAGTTTCTCTAATATTAGAGATAACAACGGTACCTTTAATGCTGAATAACAAAGAACTGTAGGCTAAAGAAAGTGTCGCAGCAGTACCTCATATTCTTGATATTAAGCGCAAATATTATGTGTTCAGTGCTTAATCATATATTCACCCGATAACTATAGACGTGTTGTGTTACCAATTAATGATAAAAGCTGTAGCAAAATTCTGGTTCATATGCAATGCATAATGTATAATTATATCACTCTCTAGCTTAGTAAATAGAAGTTCTATGCACTTCCACCATCTGATTAGACTAACCACACAAATTTTTAGTATTTTTACGCTCAAAGATAAAAATAATTACAAAGAGTATTTCCATCAACTGAAAATGCCAAGCAAATTCACCTGAGAATCCTTCATTGCAGTTTATCTGCTTATCACATACAAGAAATAGCTAAATCCAGGATCAATGCTTATCCTGGTAGGAAAAATATATCGATGGTTATGCTAGAATGCATGCAAATGGTGTTACATTTCAGACGGGTAGAAGTTGAAAATAAACATCAAACAGTTGCAGTGCGCTCTAAAATAGTCTTGCTGGAAACTGCCATGTTAGCTTTCCCATTTATTTCATTGTAGACTAGGAAGCTAATGATTTTCAAATTTGTTGTTCCGTAAAAAGGAAGAAAAATAATTGCAGTGACATCATAGAGAGAATGAAGTATGAGGTCCTTCAAGGTACAAGGAAACAAGTAGTATTGATATTCTACATCAACAAGTATGGCACTCTGACATTCATAAGATGGAACAATAAAAAGGGCAGGGCAGCCCCAGTGCATGTAGCTCCCGCTTGCGCAGGGTCTGGGGAAGGGTCCGACCACTTTGGGTCTATTGTATGCAGCCTTTCCCTACATTTCTGTAAGAGGCTGTTTCCAGGACTTGAACCCGATGAGGTCACAAGGCAGCAGCTTTACCACTGCGCCAAGGCTCCCCTTCATAAGATGGAACAATACCGGATGCTAAATAAGAACATGTTGCAGGTCTCATAAAAAAAACTTGTGTATGCATCTACCGAACATACTGTGAGCTCAAAGGAAATGCATAATGTAGGTTTAATTTAACTGATAATATCCGTGATCAGTTAAAAAAAGGGAGGTTTGAGATTACTAAAATGGCACACAACAGGAAGCGATACTGTGCCCAAGAGTACCATTCATAAGCTGAGAGAATCACTGAACTTAACTTGACTCTGGTGTGCCAGAGATGACAGTGCAATCTTAATCTTAGAAACTGAACCGGATTTGTAACATTGACCATCTAGAAATCATGGAAACAGAACAGCACGCCAGATACTAAATTGTTAGACAGTAGGTACTCAAGTAACATCAAATTTAACACATCAGTCCGAGACTAGCACCTTTTTTACAAAAAATTAAGAGCGCTGGTTTTGAAAACAAAGCACATACGTATTATAATAATTCTATCAAGTGCAAAAGAACCTGGAAATGTAAAAGGGGGGGAAACAAGAAAATGGCTGGACAAAAATGAAGGGTCCACAATCACTTGTGCCAAAAATTAACTGATACACTTACAGTACGGCTCGCGTAAAAAGGAATTGCTCAGCAACCTAACACCAAGAAGGGGCGGACTGAGCGTGCGGCATGGAAGTTCAGTAAAGAGCAGAAATTGTTAAGAGAAGATGGTGTGCCGAGCGTGCACCGGCATACCCAGAATTTGTGAAGGTCCCCGCCCTACCCTAGTGGGGTTGATTAATTTAACAGCACGGAGAATTGATACTGCGGTGGATGAAAACAACCTAGCTGCTCATACCTCGAAGGAAGGAAGGAGCCCAATGGCGAGAGACTGGGACGGGGTGGAGACAGCAGCAGGATGTCCCGGGGAGCGAAGAAGAAAGTGAACGGCGATGGTGGTGGCGGCGGCGGCGGCGGCGGCGCGCGTCCCCCGGGAGGCGAGAGGAGGGGGCGGGGATTGAGGCGGCCGCTGCTGTAGGTACCTCCGCCGCGAGGAAGGGAAGGGAAGGAGTGAGGGGCCTGGGAAGGGGGAAGTGAAAAGAAACGGAAAATGTACTGCCAGGAAAAGAGGAGTAAAGCTTGGCTCTCGATAAGACAGTTTTAAATTTAATTAGGAGAGCATGTGTAAAATACTCCTAGATTCTCCTAGAATATTGAACCCATATTTCAATCCCAAAAACTTAAACGCGCAGCTGCGCTATTTGACGGAGCCGAGCGCACACGCGAGCTGTCCAATAATTGCGCACCTGCTACGCGACAAAATTGCTAAGTAAACGGCATCCTTCCTCCTTGCGATGCACCTGACGTTGTCAGGTGGTGGGTGGTCACTAAGGATTACGTGCATGCATGTGCTGATGTCATCTCACATTATTCCGTTTTTTTTAAAAAAAAGTTATAACTTTCGAACCGAGTGTCAAAATGAAAATCCGTTTTCACCATTAGGTTTCTCGCGACGAGATCTTCAAAACTAGATCTCATATGTATGTGTTTCGATGAATTTTTTAAAAGCAACTTTAGTTTTAGTTGAGCCAATTTTAGTACTAAACAGAAGCAACTTCCTTGCATCATGTGTAATAGTGAATTTACCTATCAAATATATCGTAGACAACATAAAAATCATGTGGGACAAATTTTCACTGTATGTAGGCAACTAAGCATCATTCGTAGGCAACTTTATAATATTGTAGGCAACTTAGTTTTCAAGGTAGGCTAACAGTATCCTAAGGAGGCTACCATGACTAGCTAGTAGCTTAACATCATCCTTAGTTGCATACAATTTAGCTTCATACATAGGCGGCTTTGGACCTAAGTTGCTAACGCTACTTAGTTTTAAAAGCAACTTTGATGCTTGATGAGGCAACTATAATGCTAAACAGAAACAACTCCACTTCTAAAAATAATTAATTAGCAGCAATAAGCAACTAACTAATAATACAGAACAACTACCGAACTGAGGTAGATAATGCCACATCACCTTTATGAGCAACTTCCCTTCCACAAGAGGCAACTCTAGTGCTAAAAGCGGGCAACGCCACTACCTTGTGTGTCCTAGTTAATTTTGTCTAACATTCTCCTAACTTCCTCATTGGTACTTCTAAGTTGCCTATTGTTCATGCTCGTATGTCGTTGTTTCTAAATTGCCTATAATACTATAATGTCGTCTACCGATGATACTCTTGTGTCTGCTATATATTGCTAGTTATGGTAGGCAACATGATGATGAATCTCGGCCACTTCAGAGTGTTTGTAGGCAACTTAGAAAAACAATGATAAACAACTTCATATTATTCTAGGCAACTATTTTAACAAAATTAGGCAACTGAGCAGCAATTGTAGGCAACTAATTACCAGTAGCAGGCAACTAGGCATCAATTATAGGCAATTTATAGCATTTATAGGCAATTGAATATCGACCGTTTGCAACTAACCATCAACAATAGGCAATCGAACGACCATGATACACAAGCTGGAATAATGTTAGCAAAACTGATAAATATACATAGTGCAGTGAAATTGCTTTGTATGTACACCAAAGATGCCTTATGTTTTGTGTGATTTTTCGTTTTTATGCAAACCAACCAAATAGTGAGTCCAACTAGGTCAAAAAGAAGTCCAACTAGGCCAAAAAGAAGTTGCTCCTCAATAGCACTATAGTTGCCTTCATTGCATCCAAAGTTGCCCTCAAAAAAGAGTTTGACAAAACCAACGCATATGAGATCTCGTTTTGAAGAACTCGTCATCAGAAACCTGACTGTGAAAACGGAACTTGATTTTGATGCTTCAATCAAAAGTTATGGCTTTTATAATTTTTAAACCCTAAATAAATGCACATGGGAGATGATCTATGCTGATTCAATCGGTAGTCACGTGTGCTACAGGATATGACCAAACAATTTCTTTTTTTACACTAGATAGCTAGACATAATGACATGCACTTACTATATACGGCAATGCGCTCAAATCAACAAACGAGCGCAGCGGCGCTCCCTAGCCTCGTCCTTATTAGGAGTACTATTCTTAACGAAAGCATAGATAGTACTCTAATTTTTTTGGATTTTCTGTGCGCACTGCGATAATAATTTAATTAGAAGTAGATAATAATTTATTGGCAAACTGATCGTACATTATATGGCTAGATTCCTTTGGATACAACCATCTCATCTGGATACAAGTGTTAGGCACAATTATTTTTGTTGATTCTGTTAGAATCTTGAGAATCGCTCACCTCCTAGATTCTTCTAGAATATTAAATTCATTTTTTTCACAATCCTAGCTAATTATCTGGGTGGAGGTCTGATTCTCAAGAATTGGACCTTAAACTTGGCACAAGTGCTCACATTTTTTCCTACACATTGTGATGTTCGTTTTGTGAGAGATGATGTTCAAGATTTGTGATACGTCTCCGTCGTATCTATAATTTTTGATTTTTCCATGCCAATATTATTCAACTTTCATATACTTTTTGGCAATTTTTTATAATATTTTTGGAACTAACATATTGATCCAGTGCCCAGTGTAACTTCCTGTCTGTTGCATGTTTTTGGTTTCGTAGAATATCCATATCAAACGAAGTCCAAACGGGATAAAACTGGACGGAGCTTATTTTTGGAAAATATGGAAAATTCAGAAGGAAAATCAACGCGAACCAGTGCCCGAGGTGGTCATGAGGCAGGGGGCCCCCAGGGCGCGCCCCCTACCCTCGTGAACCCACCGTAAGGCGGTTGACGCTCTTCTTTTGCCGCAAGAAAACTAATATTCGGAAAAAAAAATCACGGCGAAGGTTTTAGGCCAATCGGAGTTATGGATCTCCATATATATATGAAACGGTG